GGGCGGAGTTGGGGCTGGGCTGGTGGTGAGGAAGGGGTGGGGTCGGGGTGGGAAAGGGGCGGGGCTAGGGCCCGTGGAGTGTCCTCTTTTTTTATTTTTTAAATATGGTAACCCTGGGGAGAACAGCTGCTGCCTGGCCCCGCAGGCCGCCCCCCTACTCTCCCTACCGCCCGACTGAGTCCTGCCTGCTCGGGGCCAGGCCAGACTCTCACTCACCCTGGCCCCGCGCTTCCTCTGCGTCTCCCGGGCCTCCCTCCAGCGCTTGCGGAGGGAGGAGGAAGGGCGAGCCTGGGGAAGAGGTGGGGATTCGTGGAGGGAGCCAATGGGGGAAGGAGGGGGCGGAGTCGGGGCGGTGGGGTGGGGTGGCGCGAGCACTTCTGGGCTCCAGAGCATTTGCTTGTTTGTCCAGTGTCCCGACCTAACATCGGTCGGAACGGGGGACAAACAAGCAAATATTGGGACAGTCCCGATAAAATCGGGACGTGTGGTCACCCTAGCTGGGAGAAACTATAAATCTAGAACCTGGGAATCCAGAGCCAGGGCTCCTGCATTCATTCCCCTATGGTGACTCCTACCTTGAGTCTAGAATTCTTGTTTCTTTTTTTTCCCTTTTATTCTAATGCATAACATGCTGCTAAATGTGACATTTGCCCCTAGAGAGGCTGGTTCACATAGAGGATAAGAACCTACTACTTTTACCGGCTAATAATTATGCCTCTGGTTTAAGTGGTAAGAGCCTGCGCTTCTGGTGCTGATAATCCCAGGCTCATTCCCTACTGGTGACTCATGGTGGGGACAGTGACAAATGCATTGCACTCACCCTGTGTATAATTTAAGATACGTAAAGGAGTTGATAAATGGCTTTTTGCCTCACACTCCCTGTAACAAAAATGTAAAGCAGAGGTGGTATATCTGCCATTATTTCTGTGACGGCTCTCAGTAGTAACAGGCATTTGAGTGGTTTCCTCAATCATCCATTCATGTTATCTCTGTTATCTCCTGTATCAGCCATGCGCTGGAGTGGGGTTCAGCTAGCCTCGCCTCTTCTCCTCGCCAGGGAAATACAACAAGTACCAAGCCAATGTAATGCACAGTAGATTTTAAATAGCACGCCATCCTTATTATTGACCTAAGGACAAAGCAGTGCAAACATACAGACTTCCTTTGCCTTTCTCTTCCACCTTCAGATTTATAACGAAGTGATCCGTGACCTCCTGAATCCATCCTCTGGATTCCTAGACCTCAGAGAGGATGCTAGGGGTAGCATCCAGATAGCAGGAATTACTGAAGTCTCCACTACAAATGCGCAGGAGGTAAATCTGAAAGAAATTCCAGGGGGAGAGAGGTGTTCGGTGTGCTAGAATAATGATGTTTTAAGAGGCTCTCGCATCTACATATTGGCATAGCCTTCCTTGGTGTAAGACGTCTCATGTTACAGGATCCTATGGGGACTGACTTAATGAAGTGAGTTGCTCAGATAGGAGTAATCAGGCAGGCACAAGAATAGTAGAAACCAGGATGAAAACCGTAGCTAAGCAGTAAAGATCGGCTATATGGGTCAGTAATAGGCTAAGGGTATGTTTACACAGGAAAAAAAAACCCACATCTGGCCCAGGCCAGCCGACTCGGGCTGCAGGGCTCGGGCTGTGGGGCGGTTCCATTGCTGTGTAGACGTCTAAGCTCTGGGACGTTCTCACCCCGCAGGGTCCTAGAGCCTGGGCTCCAGCCCAAGCACGGAAGTCTACATGGCAATAAAATAGCCCCAACAGCCCAATCCCCACAAGCCTGAGTCAGCTAGCATGGGCTAGCCGTAGGTGTTTCATTGCTGTGTACACACACCCTAAGTGACTGCCAGTTTTCTGGAAGGATAGGAAGGCCAAGGCCTGTGTTCACAAGCCCTATCAAACAAAATTGTTTGTAGGTAGAGAGGAGATAACTGAAACATGCTTTTGTAATTCACTGATGTGTACTGTGAGGTAAGTTATGCTAGGACTTTAACGTGACCTTTGATTTGCAGTTTTTCCAAGGTTATGCCATGCTACCAGGTTAGGGAGCATCATGTTATTGTATTCTATTATGTCATGCAGTGTTGTTTTGCGTTGAACGTGAGATAACATGCCAAGGCACAATGCATCCCAGGGGAACGTATCTCAGCCCATTATAAAGCCTCCTAAAGTGAAACCCCAATAATTATACAATTAGTAGTCAATGAGCCAAGTCATGGTCCCAGTGAGGTCAAAGGCAAAACTCCCGTTGACTTCAGTGAGACCCGAACTTGGTCCAATGCTGGCAAACACGCAGGATGGTTTATCTTGTTTGCTTACTCATTGTCACACCTCTAGGAGGCAGTCATTGAAGGAGAGAGTCATACTATTACCTGAGCAGATCTCTAAACTTCTGCATATTTTTTTCTGCATTGTTTAGATCAAGCAGCTGTTAACAAAAGGAAACATAGAACGCACTCAGGAACCCACCGCTGCCAACAAGACATCTTCCCGCTCACATGCAGTCCTCCGGGTCACAGTGAAACAGAAGAGTCGGGTGAAGAATATTAATGAGGACGTGCACGTGGGGAGGCTTTTCATGGTTGACTTGGCAGGGTCTGAGAGAGCAGTCCAGGTACAGCTTGTAGTTCATCAGCCTTTCACAAGACAAGTCTTAATTCTTTGGCGTGTCATGAAATTAGTAGATCTGAGAGAGCTCACACTGTGTGTGTGTGTGTGTGTGTGTGTGTGTGCGTGCATGTTTTACTCTCCTAGGAAAAGATTACTGCATGAGTATTTGACATTTTAAAAACTGTGAGATTACAACATTTCAATTCAGGTGATGTGGGCCATGTATTTTTTAGTGCAGGAATTAACTAAATGCATTGTCCTTTGTGTGTTGTTGACGTGTAGGCCCGTACAAAGATAGTTGTGAATATTTTTTCATAGACTGCATAGAGGAAATACAGATAAGAAGTGCAGGAGTTCAGAGCCAGAATGGTTCATCTTAGTGAATGATTCACTGCAAAAGGTGAGAATTTGAAAATGATACCTAAAAAAAGTGGCCGCTATTTGGAAAGAGGAGAAATGGTAGATTGGTATCATTGATGAAGAGAGTATGGATAAGTAGGTAGCTGGAAGGACAAAGGGATGGAAGCCAGAATAAATAGAACCTACGTGCAACATTGGAATGCAGGAAGGAAGAGAAGATAGTAAAGAGGATAGAAGACAATGAATTATTGGAAGGATAGACATGTTGAGTACTGCGTATGTTGAATACTGCATGGACAGATGCTGGAAGGGAAAGGATGGATGCACAAGACTGGTATGCAGTCTGTCTGAAAAGATGGATGGACTCTTAGGCAAAGGGCTCAGAATAGTAGATGGACGTCAAAAGGAAAGTGAAAATGTATTGATTGAATATGGAACTGGGTGGGAAAGAGGTGGACAAGCAGGCAGGAGAACTGACGGCTTTGATCGCCACTTCTTGGTACTCTTCATTGCCACTTGATGGGTTAAGTGATATTTAGATGGATGGAAGGAGATACTAAAGGAGAGGTGGCCAGATCAGTGGTTAGAGCAAAGTACTGACACTTTGCAGTACTAAAGGCCACCAAGACAATTTGCCAAGAGCCCAAGGACTGCACTAAACATGCATGTAAATGTACATGAAATTTTAAAATAGAAAATAACTAGACATATAACAAGCTGTGCAGTTGGCAGGATGTACAAAACACACTACACACAACGGCATTTGCCCGTGGCTTCCTGAAAGATGAATATAAATCTGTTGCTATTTGAATTAATCAGCAGTAAAAATCTACAAACGGTTAGCTTTGTCCTCACCCTGAAAATGTGTGATGATGCTGGTGATGGGCCTTGGCTTAAGACTCCAGAGACTCCAGCAGCATCCAGGTCATGGCTTGGACTCCTCTTGGTTGAAGGAAGAATTTATGAATCAGTGGGAGGGTCAATGACAAGAAGGGTGGGATAAGCAGACGGCTGGATGCCGTCAAGGCATTATACTTGGTTGGACTCAGGAGACCTGGGTTCTATTCTTGGCTCACCCACTGGCCTGCTGGTGATCTTGGACAAGTCACTTCACCTCTCTGTGCCTTAGTTTCCCCATCTGTAAAATGGGTAGCATGATGTTGACCTCTTTTGTAAAGCGCTTTGAGATCTACTGATGACAAATGCTGTATAAGTTAGGCATTATTATTATATATCAACAGAGATACACAGAAATGATTGGCAGTTGAGGAGACCAGTATTGGAATGAATGGATGGAAAGCTGTTTCCACAGAAAGATGTTAGATTTTCTATGTTCTGCAACCCCAATTGCAGAAAACAAGTCATGGGAGGGTGATTTTTAGTTTACTGCAAAACATCTAATGAAGACCATGGGTCAGATTAAGATTGAGATTTCAATGGACACTGCACCCACTTATGTCAGAGCTGACTGGTCCTGGTTTCCACGTAGATTTGTGAGAGAAGCTCATGATTTGAAATGCAGATCCTAAAGTTAACGTTGCCTGGGTGAATCCATTCCCACAGTACAACTCTCTGTCTTTCTGAAGTGACTTCTCTCCCTCTCCAAGCAGACTCAGAACCGAGGCAAGAGAATGAAGGAGGGAGCCCATATCAACCGCTCGCTGCTAGCTCTGGGGAACTGCATCAGTGCCTTGAGTGAGAAGGGAGGAAGTCGGGCCCAGTATGTCAATTTTCGAGACAGCAAACTCACACGCTTGTTGAAGGTACTGTATGCAACTGGTTAGGAAGGGAATCGACACGTTGGGTTGCTGGCTTGTATTGGTACACAAATCTGGTGGCACTTGAGAGCTGATCCTCATGTCCTGACCCCTTTATCCTTTCTAAGTTTAGGAAATCACTCCAGGATCTTGTGTGGGATTTCAAACCCACCCAGTAATTTATTGTGACCACATAAATAAAAGGTCAAGGTTTGGAAGTCCTGGACTATGCTAGTGCGCTGTTACTGGTAACATGGTGAACTTCAGAGGTGACTTGAGTAACCATGGCCATTTGGTGTATTTGTTTATGGATCTTAGGGTGCTTTCATTGCTTTCGGCATGAATCTCAGCCCAAGTACATGGTGTTGATCCTACTGCTATAGCTGGTTGAAAAATATATTTAAACACACCCACAATATTGAAAAACAAACAAACAAACAATATTTAAAATAATGTGTAGACTTTTAAAATCAAAAATGTGAAACGTTTTTGGTGTTTTGATGGAAACAGAGATTTTTCCAGCAAAAATCCCAGGTAATCAAAAAAAGCTGTTTGTTGAAAATGTTTTGACCAGCTTTTCCTATAGCCTTTAGTCGATATCCTCCATCGGAATCTAAATGAGCATCTTGAGTGTTTCTTTAGGGTCTGTATGTTTTCACTTAATACACCGCTACCTCGATATAATGCAACCCGATATAACACAAATTCAGATATAACACGGTAAAGCAGTGCTCCGGGGGGCAGGGCTGCGCACTCCGGTGGATCAAAGAAAGTTCAATATAACGCAGTAAGATTTTTTGGCTCCTGAGGACAGCGTTATATCGAGGTAGAAGTGCATGTCTTTCCTATTTCTTCAAACATGCCTGGCCTCTATTCTTTTAAAGCTAAACAGTGGAAATGTTGCATTCCTTTAGGACTCATTAGGGGGTAACAGCAGGACAGTTATGATTGGCCACATCAGTCCTGCCAGCATCTACTTTGAAGAATCTCAAACAACCTTGATCTATGCTTATCGAGCAAAAAACATCAAGACAAGGGTAAGCAAGCAGGCAATCCAAGAGCTAAATTGTGTAGACTAAAAGCATGCCCAGGGAAAAGGAAGGTATGCTGGGGGGAAAGGAGGATAAACATACTGAGCTGGGAAAGGAGGAACAGTGTATGACAGGGGAGAAAAAGGGCAAGTGGTTTGCACAGCAGGCATGTTGGAAGGTTTGATGGGAGAGAGAACAAAGGCTGCCTGGTTGAAGGTGAAGAACACAGAAGAAAGCAGTGGGGAGAAGGTCTAACAATGAGGCAGCAGGGAGTTAGTAACATGGCGAAAGGATGGGGAAGACGGTGTAATGGAAAGGGAGAGGACAACGTACAGCATACGGGGTGTGATGGAAGGAAGAGAGCAATGCGTATGGCAAGAAGCAGTGGGCAGATACCATAATGGCTGAGAGGACAGCAGAAAGGAGTGAATGGAGACAGAGAAAATGGAAGGCTGATGAGTGTGGCAGAAGGAAAGGCCTGCGGGGTGAAGGTAGATAGATAATGATCTACAAACAATTATCCCATAGAACGAGGGTTACTGAATCCCTTTCAGTGAGCTAGGGCTCCTCTCCTAGGAAGGGATGTTTTATTTTACAGCCCTTGTGCGACGAAGCGACAAAGCAGGCTGTGGGATTAATGACCATGTGTGTTCTCACCCACCAGGTAAAACGCAACCTGCTGAATGTCTCCTATCACATTGCACAGTACACCAGCATCATTTCAGATCTACGCAGGGAGATTGAGGGTCTGAAGGCAAAGATTGAAAATCAGGAAAAGGAGAAGAGTGCAATCCGCTCTGACGTCAGGGATGTACAAGGTAGAGCTGGGTGCAGATGCTGGTCTCATCCAGGTTCCATTTCTGTCTATTGTGCCTCTTTGTAATCATTTTGTTGATTAGAGTGATTATCATACACCCTCCATAGTGTCCCTTTCATGTGTCCTTTAAAGGCTTTCCTGGAGACGGGCTCTAGTTTTCCAGTTGCTGATCATATATTTGTAGCAAACCATTTTTTTATACAGTTATGATAGTATGGGTTCATCAAACTCTCCCCTCTAGTCTCCCTTTATCACATCTGAGTTGTCTTTGTCTCCTTTACAGAGGCTTTTTCAAGTCTTTTCCCTTGTCCCATTTTTAAATTTACAGAGCTGACATGGTGCTTTTAAAAAGGTGGAAGAGGCAGCAATGTCTAGTGGTCCGAGCAGAGAACTAGGAGTCAGGAAACCTGGATTCCATTCCAATCTTTACTACTGACTAGCTGTGTGACTCTGGGCAGACACTTAGCCTCTCTGTGTCTCAATTTCCTCCACTGGCAAATGAGGTTTATCTGTCTTTGAAAAGTGCTTTGAGATCCTGTGACAACAGTGTATATATAAGGGCAAATGATATCATGTAATTATTATTTTGCTGCCCATCTCCAGGCTCTGATACTAACTGTGTCAGGCCAGAGAGCTTTGTTTCAGTTCCTGGAGTACTTTGTTTTCAGAATAATTTTTCAATTGATCTCACCGTGGGGAATGTTCCTTCCAATAACAGAAAATAGTAAAAGTGTCTGATAGACAAACGTTAGCGGTCCCAGGGGGTTGTTCTGAGAAGCTGGCAGATTGGAAACAGAAGAGCTGTTGTTTTCTCCCCCAGTGGAGGCACATCAGGATTCAGAGGCGTACAGCCGGCAAGAGATGAACAAGTTACGGGAGCAGCTGATCGGGGCTTTCAAGGAGCAAATGGAGATGCGCCGCAGCCTCATGGAGCTGGAGCACACCAACATTGAGCTACACATTGATACCTCCAGGCATTTGCTAACGATTGCCGAGTGAGTACGAGCACTGCATAGCGGGGCATTTACTGATGAGCACAAAGTTAATATGCAGATCCCTGCCATCACTATGAGAAACCCTAATGTAACATAGCTGCAGCTCCCTGCCAAAGGCACTTAGAGTGTGTTTACATAGTGATCAGAAGGGGTGACTACAGCAGGTGCAGGCGTACCCAAGCTAGCTTCGATGCGGGGAGAGATAGCTCAGTGGTTTGAGCATTGGCCTGCTAAACCCAGGATTGTGAATTCAATCCTTGAGGGGGCCATTTAGGGAACTGGGGTAAAAATCTGTCTGGGGATTGGTCCTGCTTTGAGCAGGGGGTTGGACTAGATGACCTCCTGAGGTCCCTTCCAACCCTGAGATTCTATGATTCTGTGGATCTAGCTTGCTAAAAATAGCAATACAAGTTAGCCACCTGAGTACAGTCCAGCCTGGGACCCTGAGGACATACTCAGGCAGGCAGCCTGTGCCGCCATCCAGGCCACCACAGCCACATTGCTATTTGTAGTGAGCTAGCTCAGGGATGTCTACATGTGCTGCAATCCTGCCTCCCAATTGCAGTGTAGACGTAGCCTATGTTTTCAGTAAGAAACAGTGTTGCAGATCTGTTTTTTTGGTTCACTACATGCCACACACCAGTCTCATACATAGGCATACAGAACAGCTCACATAACTGTCCCTTTGGCAGTTGTGGTTAGAGGAAGTCTGTGCACAAGAGAGATTGAACTAATAAGGCGAGAGCAACCTGCGAGCTGATTATGCACGGACATGAGCATCTCCAGCCAAGTGCCCTCAATTCCTACTGCTGCACTGGGTTGTTACAGATGGAGCCTGTAAACCAAGGGTAGGCAACCTATGGCACGCGTGCCGAAGGCAGCACGTGAGCTGATTTTCAGTGGCACTCACACTGCCCAGGTCCTGGCCACCGGTCCGGGGGGCTCTGCATTTTAATTTAATTTTAAATGAAGCTTCTTAAACATTTTAAAAACCTTATTTACTTTACATACAACAATAGTTTAGTTATATATTATAGACTTATAGAAAGAGACCTTCTAAAAACATTAAATGTATTACTGGCACGCAAAACCTTAAATTAGAGTGACTAAATGAAGACTCGGCACACCACTTCTGAAAGGTTGCCGACCCCTGCCGTAAACAATGTCTCTTATCCAGCAAAAAGTCAGTTGTTCCCTGCATATCCTGCATGTGTTCATTCCCCAGGGTGGGGAGGGGGTTCTGCAGGGCAAGAATTTGGTGGCTATCACTATTTCAGGGCTCTGCAGGGGGAAGAGACTCCTTTAAAAATATATAAATCTGTATCTGAGTTTGTTTGGAAACGAGACTTTTCTGGATAAAAGGGATAAAACATCCACGGTAGTTCAACATGGTCTTGAGGCAGGAGAGCCTCAGACCGCTGGGCAGAATAACCTAATAGAGGCATAGTGATTTAATTGGGTGCTGCGTTATGATAGGAGGGAGATTCTGCCATCTGGACACAAGCACCAGATCCCTCCTAGCGCTTCTGAGGGGAGTGAGATAGCACGGTTGAGGTCAGGTTTCAACACACTGCAGTTATCAGTTACAGTTGCAACGTCAATATGTAGAAATGTAAGATGGTGGTATCTTTCCAGAGGGACTGGATCTCCAGCCTGGGAAGCTCTGTGGCTTTAGCCGCCGTTGTGAAATGTAAGCGAGGAGTTAGACTAGTTCTTCATTCATAGAGGCTGCATGTGGTCAAAAGTATCATTCATACAAAGTAATGATGCTATCTTGAGCAGGTGGTTCTGCCAGTTTTCTCCAGCAAAAAGTTTAGAGCCACAACTGAGAGTGCAAATGGTTCTCCTCCTCCCCCCTCCTCCCACCCCCCAAAAAAGCCTGTGTCTGATCACTAACCAGGACTTGAATTTTCATTGCAATCTATGTTCTCTCGTCATGGCAAACCTGGATTGTTGGCCTTAACATCCTCAACTCTGGGGTATCTCGCCCTGTACTTCTGCTGTGTTCTCTCCACCTTCCCATACGGCAGCTGTACATGTTCCCATTGTAAATAGAGCTAAACCAGTCCTTGCTACTGGACAAACTATGAGTTGTGGTAAGTTCTGAGTACAGTGCTTATTTGTTATCTGTCAGTCTGTTCAACACCTTTGTACATTTTTATAGCACTATAAAATTCAGGTAAGTTTCAGAAAAACAATCTCCATTAGATTACGTATGGCCAGTAAATATCTCTCTACAGCTGCTGCTACAGCAGCTTGTAGTGATGGCAGAGGCAGTGCTCCCTTTGCTGTTTAAACATCTCACTGGAGACTCTCTTTATATCCACCCCAGAAACTAGGACATTGTTTGCAGGCTACTATACGTGATGTTCTTGACCACAGTGCTCTGAGGCTTAGTGTAGTTAGTTCAGCTGTTGCCATGCAAGCAGAAATGGGGAAAGCACCAGAAGACTGGGCAAATATGGCATTGGGTCACTGGCTAACTAGTGTTTGAGTGACTGTTGCTGGGCCCTTAGTGGTTAATGGTTTTCACTCTTGTATTTTTGCTGGCAGCTGGGAACGAGAGAAGACTCAGCATGCTCGGAAGTGTTATAACAAGCTGGTGAACGGAAAGGAAGATGAAAACATGGAGGAGGCAGACAGAGAATTAGAGGGGGCAGGTTCTCCTGAACTTCATGAAGTCACTGTAGCAAGAGAGGAGATCAACATGCTGTTGGCAGAGCTGCGAAAAACAGCAATCTTAAAGGTGAGAGCAAGCATAAAGCACTTACCTGACCTCTCCATAGCCTGGTTCCATGCTCCAGCTGGAGTCCCAGGGTGGCTATGATGTCCGCAGCATAGTGGGGCATCACATGGAGGCAGAGCCAGCACTTTAGACACTAGAGGACCTGAAAGAGGAAATAGAAAATGCACACGAGCAGTCAACTCTGTGCAGAGGTCCTCTCGTACCCTTTGGCCACTCTGCATATAACCCTAGTTCTGATGAATGTTGGGAGCCCTGTCTGCAGGTTGAAGCTGAGAGGTTGAGAATATGGTATGAGTATACAGATGGCTCTGTAACACAGGCTTTTGGGACGCTGCTGCACTTATGGTGATAAAACCAAGGGGAAGAGATTGTACCTGTATTTCCCCCGGGAAGCAGAGGGATATTGGTTATGAGTCACTGAGGAGTGTTGCTTTGGGAAATTACCACACCAGTATTTAAGATGGTCATGCAGAGATGTTTACAGGAACTTAAATACGGATAACATGGATAGTGAGTGGAGGTAGGGGCTAGAAATTATGGAGTTCTAATCCTGGTTCTGTCACTGATTTCTTCTTACTTGGGCAAGTCACAAACTCTCTCTATCTCCTTTTCCCCATCTGTAAAATGAGGATAATCATATTTCTGTACCTCCTTCTCAGGGGTGCTATGTGGATTCATTAGCTGGTGTTTTGTAGGGTACTCCAGTCATTCTTTATGCTTAGACAGCATTTCACATTGGTAAATTCTTCAGGCTGGGGACTGTCTCCTCTTGTGTGTTTGGACACTACCTAGCCACATTGTGAGCAATACCAGAATATGAATGATCTTCATCATCACTGCTAAACAAAATGCGCCTAGGTCCCATTTCCAGGAAGAGGGAAGTATAATCTCTTGCTGCAGATAGCCGGACCGGATCAGATACCAGAGCTGTATCTTGAGCATTTAATAAATAAATGTTACCAAACCTCAGTGCAGACCCGCTGGTGCACGCAAACCTTCATTTTCCTTTTCAGTCGGAGCTGGAGCGGCGCTTAGCCAATGCCAAGAAAAAAGCCTCCCAGATGGAGAAGCTGTTACCCAAACAAATCACCAGTGAGGACCAGCGAGAGGTGCTGAGACTTCTCTGCAAGGCTCATGAACTGGAGGTGGGGAACACGGAGTTGCAGGCGAATGCCTTGTACAAGGAGAATCTGCTGTGCCAGAAGGATTTTGTCATCCAGCGGCAGCAGCAGCACGGGCTGCTCTGCGAGGAAATCATTCAGCAGCAGCAAATGCTGATCAAAGGTAAAATTCCAGCACTACTCCTGCTCTGGAGTGACAGCAGCTGATGACAAATGGGGAACATTAGAAATAATTCCATCTAGAGGCCTTCCTGCTCGTGGGCCAAATTCTGCACTGTCTTCCCTTGGCTTTAACGTAAGCTGTGGGTGCTCAGCACCTTTGAAAAATCAGGCCAGCTGTTGCTTCTGCTGTGATCCCTAACTTTCTCCCTTCCCACTCCCACCCCCCCACTCCAGGCCATGACATCCCTGTCCCAGAGACCCTGGGGACGCTGTATCAACTGCACTGCCGTGAGCTAGAGGAGGGGACCCTGACCCGCCTGCTCCTGCTTCACTCTGTGATGTCCAGCACGCTGAGGGTAAGGCAGAGCTGAACCCAGCTCAGCGAATTCCATTCAGTGCCAGGCTTAAGTGCTTTTCTGGATTGGAGCCTCAATACCACATCGCATGCTGATTTGGGGAAGATAATAGGTCAGTCACCATTCAGCAGATGGTCCTCTTCAGCCCACCTCCTGAGGAATGGCTAGTGTTCAGGTGTTACTTAGGTGGAGATACTCTTGTTATTTAGTGGATCTACACTCTTGTTTGTTTCAGAGCTTAAGGCCTAGGGCTTCTGGAGGTAGAGAGGAACCAGGAGACAGCTGGAAGGGGCAGGGTATTCATCTCAGTCCCTATAATGTTGGGTTTGAGGGATATGTATGTCCCCCTCACTGACAACTATGACTCAGAAGATTCTATGGCCAGGCAGTCAGTTTCTACAGCAGAACTCTGTGGAGACAGTACATTTGGAGAGCCAGTGTTACTGTGGGTAAACCTGCTTTCCCTGATAACCAAAGGTGTCCATCACCTCTAAAGGCATCCTGCATGCTAAACACAGCCAGCATTCGAACCCTAGGAACTCCTGATCAGAAGGAAAAGGGAATACATTGCCAGTCTCTGCTCATTTTTGCAGATTTTGTGAGTATTTCTTGAGATGGTGATATTTTACTGACAACTTCTTAATGTCTTGTAATAACAGGTGGGACTCCCCAGTGGCAGCTCCTCACATTTATTATGACTTGTCTCTGATAAACCTGACACAGAATTGGTTTTCACTCTGAATAATAAACTTGCTGTCAGTCACGTTGCTATACAGAAACCAAAATTATTCCAGACACTCTCTTTAATGTTAATGGGTGATGGCAGGTTGTGGATTTGAATCCTGAAGAAGGAAACCACACATGCTTCATCAGCCAACTTCCCTGCATTTGATTAGGAGGCTAGCTCTGTTGCAAAGGCTCCAACAGTAACTGGGCATGTGTAGGAAGCTGTGCTGTGCTGTGCTGTGGATTGGTGCCTTTTGAGCCAAACAAAGCCCATTAGGCTTGTGGGCTGGAGGGTTTACAGATGCAGATGAAGTGGGGAAATCCTCTTACATGCCCCTTGCTTTCAGATTTTTCTCTTCGCTCCTTCAGTGCCAGGCCAAAGCTATGTCTCAAACTGAAAATAAAATACAAGTTGTAATGAGGGATTCAAGAGAGAGGGCAGGTGGCTATTGCATTAGGAGATCTGTGTGTAAAGAAGCCGACTGAGTGAAGAGGGGTTTGTACTGAAAAAAATCTATGCTGTGTCTGCCTACAGTCCCACCAACCTCCTTTTTTTCTGTGGCCCCAGGGTGGCTCTGCTCTGAATATAGCTCAGCAGCTGGACCTAAACAAAGAAGAGGCCAGAAAAGGGCTATCTGGCAACAGGAAGGGTCTTCCTTCTGGAGCAAAGTTTGAGCTTCCGTCCATTGTCTTGGAGTCAGAGAGGTGAATGCATTTCCATCTATTCTGTCCACGTGGCCATTATCAGCCCCATTCTCCCGGGCCTTGCATCTCAGCAGTTAATTTCAGAGTGTTACCTGTGCTGCTATGGCTAGAGGTCTGTCGGCACTGTCCCTTTATACTATCAAGTATCAGAGGGGTAGCCGTGTTAGTCTGGATCTGTAAAAAGCAACAGAGGGTCCTGTGGCACCTTTAAGACTAACAGATGTATTGGAGCATAAGCTTTCGTGGGTGAATGCCCACTTCGTCGGGCAGCACATGCATCCGACGAAGTGGGCATTCACCCACGAAAACTTATGCTCCAATACATCTGTTAGTCTTAAAGGTGCCACAGGACTCTCTGTTGCTTTTATACTATGTAACTTGCCCATTATCTTTTCTGCGTTGGATTGTGTGTGGCTGGTGTAGAGACTGAGGTTATATTTTGAATGTGGCTGAAGCACCGACTATCTGCTGTTATCGGTGGATTGAAAGGAATATCAGTCTGCCACACATAATTAGGGATGTGAATCTCATGTGCCACAAGGGGTTTGCTATTGGTTTGAACTCTGCAGTCTTTTCATGCCCTGCCCTAGTCTTGGACTTTCCGAACATGCCATTTGCTAAGCACAGAGGTGAAAAATCTTGTAGCCTTTAGGAAACCTCTGCCCCTACCCCGTCCGATTTAGTCCTTCACTGGTTCAATAACACAGATGTTCCACGAAGGGCCTAATTCTGATCCCATTGAACTAAGTGACAAAACCCCTATTGATTTCTGTATGAGCAGGATCAGGTCCAAGAAGGTATCACCTGACATGGAAAATATAAAATTGCAATTTATTGTGCGGAGATCAAACCAATGACAGAATAAAACCGGAGTGAGAGGCAACTTGACAGACAGTACAAACAGCCAGCTGCTTTCATTGAGCTTTTTATGGGGATAGGGGAGAGGAAACCAAGATGTTGTAGTAACATACTTACTAAGGTGAACATTGCCCAATGATGCAGAGCCCCCCAAAGTCTCTCCAATGTGAGTCCCAAGCCAGACTTGGTTTCTAGAGGCCAGATCCCCAAACGAGTGACCATGTTAGAGGAACCCCCAGAAAAGGGAGCCAATAGGAAAGAAGTCCCTGTTGTATTATGCAATTGCTAGGTAGCTCTGTGTTTTAGAATTTTCTCCAGGGAGTGAGTGGATGGGATGGGGATGGGGTGGGGTGGGAGGGACTTCGGTTCTAAACCAATCAGTGAAAGAGTTTAACCAATATAGATTAATGAAGCTCTTTTAAGTGGGTTCAGGGTCCTCTCTATGTTTCCCTGAGTTTTGAAGTTCTCTTTCCACCCTGGATCTTCCCTCCCTGCCCCTGCTTTTAAATCAGTCCTGGTTCCCCCTACATTTTGGAGGAGTTAATCCAAACAGGTGTCTCCAAACACTCCAGAAGGGCTGACTAGCGTTCCCCTCAGGGCCCAGTGCCTGGCTCTTATACATGTAATTCAATCTATTCACGCCGCCGTGTGTGTGTTTTTCACAGTGACAACTACAGATCATCTAAAACGACACCTGCTAGGAAACTGGGGAATCCAGATACCCATCTCAGCCCTACTTTCTTTCGCTTGCCAAGAACCCCACTGCACCAGGTCAGTACTGGCAGGCACAGAGTTCAAGGTCTAGCTACCACAGAGAGCACTTTCCTCTGACAAGAGCAGGGTGCACGTAGCAGTCAGACCCATCGTGGCTGCAAGTTGTATGATGCAGTGAGGAGTCCAAGACTAGTTTTCTAGATGAGGAAGATAAGGAATAAGGCTAGGATTCAAGTGCTGTGGGTTCTACTCCCACCTCCACGACAGACTTAGGCAAATCACCTGATCTCTACAGGCCCCAGTTGTCTATCTGTACAATAGGGACAATAGTAATCCCTACCACACAGGCAGGAAGGATAAATGAATGTTCATGGGATGCTCAGTAACTCCTGTGATGAGAGTCATATAAATACCTTGATAGATACAACATAAATTATGGGACAGGGAAGTGATATGACAGATACCTCTAGATCAATAGCCAGTTCCTGTCGACCAATGTATTTTCTACTCAGCGCATCAAAGGCACAAAGTAATATTTGTACCCGTGTCTATCTGAAGGGAGGAAGATGATGAAGTGACTCTTGCTCAGGTGTCAAGCTTCTCTGACAGTTGTGTTGATGTTGCAATACTCAGGCCAGGAATGTTGCTTGTTCCCCACAAAAGCTGATGCTGGATGGAGTTTGGTACTCTCTGGTGCCATCTCATGTAATGATGCCTTTGTAAAATTCTTTTAAGAATCTAATCACATATGATTCCTTTGGGGATAATTTGTGGACACTTTGGGAGAGTCTATGACATGGGCTAATGCCTGAGCACAGGACCAAAAGGCAGTTACTCCTGGTTCTAATCCCAAGGCTGACTCCTTTTGTAACCTTGGGTATTTCCCTTACTCTCTCTAACTCAGTTTCCCCATCTGCAAAAATGGATATACTGACATCTACCAACTTCTCTGGAGTGTGGTAGTGATTGATTAATGTTTCTAACATGCTTGGAAGATGAAAAACACCTTAAGTGTTAAGTAAAAAGCAAATCCTAAGTTATCTGATTCCATGGCTTTGATTTTTAGCAGAAACCAACTGGCGTTGCTGTAGGAAAGATGACCTCCAAGCTATGTTCCCCCACCTCCCTGGACTTAAATAGGAGAAAGTCAGCTGCAGAGATCGCTCTTGCCCCACTCAGTCTGGAGGCCTTGACGGAGATTGCTGTTAGCACCAAAAGCATCTCCCGCATTGCAGCCAGACGGCGTTCCAGAGCCCGACACAGAGAGCATGGGAGTCAGCTTACCTCTGGGCATTTCTTTGAGGAGGATACATTGGAGCTGAAATATCTGCAGTCCAGCTTCACTCCAGAGCCTCACGTGAAAGACACCGTGAGTATCGAGAGCCTCTCAGCGGAGTCCCAGAGAAAGGAGCAGCTGTACTACACAGCCAAGAGAGAACTGAAGAAGGATCGAGAACGAGAGAAATCAGCTGAGAGGAAAGCCAGGAAGAAAAGATCTCGTTCCCTTGAACCAATCTCCCAAAAGGTAGACACTTTGTATGTTTCCTTCAGGGGGGATGGGTAGATCAGGAGGTAGAGACCACGTGGAGGACTTAGCAGAGGTGGTTTTGGAGGCAGTAGTGAAAGGAAGCCATTGGGGATAGGTGCAGCAGCAGACAGAGGTGGGTGCGGAAACAGGCCACATACAGTAGTGCCAGAGGATAAAGCTATGTCCAAGGATGGAGGGAGCACTGAGCTATAACACAGATAATGTTTTGAATAACTCACGCTGACACGTCGCACATGCCCAACACCATTTCTATCCCCTTCTTAAAGGGCAGCCTGAGCCAAAGAGACTGACAAGGGAGTGAGGGAACCTGTTTTGGTATAATGTGGCCCACAGTCAGAGAATAGAGCCTCCTGAATTGGGAGGTTTAAGTCAACAGCATCCTTGACGGTGTCTTTCAGATCTCGAAAGCAAAGCATCGGACTCCCTCGAGCCACAATATGGACAATGTTTCTGAGGACCAGCTGCCCCGAGCTAAACTCTTCCAGCCGTTGAAGATCATGAGCAACTTATCCCATGCCACTCCTGCTGCCACCAAGGTCAAATTCCCCATCAGACACCATACAGGTAGGACCCCAGGTTCCTGATGTGACTCCATCTGTATGGCAGCAACATGTGGATTAGTCTTTGAGAAACAAACCACAGCAGAGGTTTATGCTGAAAATGAACTTATCTAAGGGTCCTGATACATACGCACAAAAACTGTGTTTCAGGTAGACTTGATGAGTAATGGGATTTCAGAAGCGTTTCCTGTGGAAGTGGCTGGCTCAAATATGTCCCCATACTGTAGTGACCAAAAGTTATCATCTCACTTCTGTTCAGTGTCGTATATGAAACAAGTTATTGGTTTCTGACCAGTGCCCAGCAGACCAGAGTCCACAACTGGAACTGTCTGGCCTCCATTTTGGCATCCTCAGCAGAGGCCAAAGACTGAATAAGCCTGTTGTATAACCATCTCACAGCCCAAGGGCTAGCCAGTCCAGGTCAGGCTTGAGGCACATTGTGCTCAGACTGCTACACCTGATCTGTGGCTGAACGCAGAGGACTTCAGGGTGGGATTTTCAAAGCTGGTTAGGGCCAGGAACTGGATGCCCAATTTCCATTAAATTCTAACTGGAGTCAGGCATTCAGATCCCTGTGGAGACTCTGAAAGTCTCAATCCCCATCCTGGTCCCTTCCACCACTGCTAAATTCTTTCCCTTTTAAGTTTGTTTCCCAAAGATAGATACTGTTAACATTTCATTTGCAGCCATGCCACTTATTTCAGCTGGTCCATTAGTGAATCCTATACTGAATGGTCATTGCTTGCTACATAAGCTGTGTTCCTTTCCCATTGTTTCTAGTAAAGGTCTCTCTCTCTCTCTCTCTCTCTCATGCTATCAAGAAGAAAATCCATTACAGGTGCTGGAGATAAGCAACACTTCCCCAAGCAATGTTCAGCAGAGCAATGCAGGTCAGACCAGAGGCCAGGTCCTACAAAAGCGGGTCAAAGGTCAGTATGGAAGACAGCAATATTCCGCTATTAAATACTTCCTTATGACGCTTGCTCTGTAGTAGGCGTAACTGAATGCATTGTAGGTGCCACACAAGCTGCTTGCTTGGAAAAGCAATCCTGTGGGTATGTCTCTTACAGCCAAACTTTTAAGCCACACGCTTCAGCAGATAACTCAAAACATTCCAAACATCTCTGTTACATTCCTCCTCCCCTTTGGCCAAAACTAACTCCTTTGGGGGGAGAGGAGAACATTTTCAGATGTGTTCACAATCCCCGTCTGATCCATGTAGGAAGCACTGCTGTAATATGAGAATGTGCTCCTGCTATTTAATGCATTGCACTAAGATTATCTCAGATGCTTAAGGAAGTGAATGAAAAGCTGGCTTTCCATCTGGCCCCAAAACTACCAGTATCTCTTTCCAGCTCTGACCAATGCTGAGAGTGCCTTGTGCCAGTCAGTGAGGTTCAAGGCTTAGTGTTTCCTTTACTCTGGAACACTGAGGCAAGACATTTCTCCTGTAATATGATGATAAAAAACATCTCAATCTTCCTTCGCGTGTAGGGCCCATAGAGGGTGCCAGCAACCAGCCGAAGAACCAACCCATCACAGGCTTCAAGAACCTGACGAGGTCAAAATAAAATCATCAGGGAGAGCAAGATTCCATCTGTTCCTGAGGGACCAGGACTACAGGGGTACTAAAAAGTAGGGAAGGTTTTTCTTAAGACGCATTTTAAGCAGTATGCTCTGAGGCTGGGAAGCGGAAGGGGAGGTGTGCACACTGCTTTGGTGCTTCCCCCGCAGCCTCTCTACTAGTTTTTTTTTTTTTTTGCACTGTGCTCCAGCTGTTAGTTTCCTTTAAGATGAACTGCGGGTTCTTCTGTTAATAACATTCAAAAGAAAAGGAAACCCCATTTGTCCACAGCATTCTTAGTCCAGGACAGCAGTATGGAGTCCACCATCTGGGATTCTGCATGCAGCACATCCTCTCTTTTCTGTGGAAACCTCCCACACATATTGGGGTGAGGGAGAGGCTATTTAATTATCAAAAGAAATTGCAGACTCTTTTGAAGTATCCCCTGCCCTCTTCTCAGAGGTTTATACGCATTGTCTTGGAGCTGGAAAAGGTGAAGCCTATCTGGAATGCTGCTCAGCTGAGCAGATGTTTGGCAGTGGGAGCAGCCAGAGGCGTTCTAAGCACTTGGCCACGTGCAGAGCATTTCAGATCTGACAGGAGCTTGAAAAAGGGGTTTGGTGGCTGGCAGAGACTTTGTTATGAGCTGGGTTGGAGGTGAACAAAGGCAAGTTTTCTTCTTAAAAACCAAACCCATCTTTCCAGCAGTTCTCCCCCTGGTTTCTTGGAGGGACATGCATTTTGTAAATCAATACTAGACTTACCATTTTCCTTTCTTGGCCCTGTTATTTTCTTCACGTTGCAAATAAAGTGGCACAGGGTGGCCATTCCATTGAATAAATGTTGCCTTTATTTCCCAAATATGAATAGCTTCTCTCCACACCCACTTTGCCACCTGCTTGGCATTCAGTGCAAGCATGTAAGGAAATGTCATCTTTATGGCTTCATTCAGTTTCATTCAGGATGTAAATTATGAAGAGTCTTTGTGCAGCTAAAGCACAGGACAGTGGAGTCAGGATGCTTAGTTACTGTCCCCAGTTCTGCCACTAATTTACTATGCAACCTTAGGCATGTCACTTAACCACTCTGGGCCTCTGTTTCCGCATCTGTCAACTAGGGATAGTATTAATCCACTACTTCACCTTGGATTGGGAGGCTTGATTTGAGATCCTTGAATGGAATGCAATACAAGTGCAAAGTATGTATTATGAAGAATTATTCACTATTTCAGTATAATGTAATGAGGTCTGATGGACACTCCTCTTTGAGTTCTCTGTTAAACTGCAGAAAGCCTGATGAGTCACATTGTAGACAAGAGGGGCCAGGAGAACTTGCAAAGAAATAAAAAGCACACCTAGATAAAATAAGCCCAGACCATGTGAAAATAAACCCATTCCAGCAGGCCTTGAGCCAGTCTTCTATTTACAGGACACCATGTGAACCAGATGGGAGCAAGAAACTTAGTGCGATGGAATACCATGAATGTTCCAAATGTGTACATCTCTGCTAAATACCTTTGGGCTGATTCACTCTGAAAAGTCACAGTGTTCAGAAGCTAAATCCTATTTCCCTCACAGGCTGCTACTTTGAATCCTGACACTAAGGAACTGGTTTGTGGACATAACTCAGACTGGAGGTTGTGCATTTGGAAACAAATGGAACCTGATGCTAATTTTCCAGGAACCCCACACAGCTGAAGATGAATCGGAGCCATTGTATGCAATGTTTTTTTAATCATTTTCCTACATTTAAGTTAAAAAAATATGAATGTAGAGATTTGAGAAAGAAGACCTCAGACACTTGGAGTCAGTAAGTCTGTGTTACTGCTCTGCACTCCAAAGAGTCGGTCTCCAGTCTCTTGAAGCTGAGTGTCTGTATCATAGGAGAGAGAGGGCACTAATGTTCAGAACTCAGATGAAGGACATTGCCTCTGAGCTGGAATGACGGACTCTTCTGTTCTTGCCTTTTACGTGTGAGGAAAGAGACAAGAATTTAAACTCCTCTGGGCCTTTTATGTGATAACTTTTAGGTGTGTTAAATTAGGGGAGCTCAAACTTTGCCCACCTAAGGTTCACATAATTGACAACTTGCTGGAAGCCCAAGGGCTGCACCGAATTTGCACAAATGGGATAGCTTGTAGCTGCCTTCATCTTCACAGGAGGTGCAGCAGGCAGAGATCACAGGTCTCACCATGCAAATTTGCACAACTGAGATGCCTACCTCAGAGCAGGTCACTTCTAAGTGGCCTCTCCCTCAAAGCACAGAACCAAAGCACCAGCCGGCAACAGAAACAGGCCCTGCTGCACGACCAGTCTTTTCTGTCAGTTCATCTCTAGGCACCCGGCATTCCACAATCCACACAAAACTAAATACTTGCACAAAATAAACTTGCCTAAAGTATTTTTTCTACTTCAAGATGGTTACAAAATCAGTAACCAATTCAACAATTATTTTTAGGTTAATATAACTACTAACAAGTTTTCCTACTACCAGTAACTGGTTAATATAGTTTTACAGTGCAGTGGGTTTCTCATAAATCTTTTAAGAGAGCTAAGATTCTTTTTGTAATTGTTATACCCATATTCGTCTAGCTTCGTCTGCTTGAGAGGAGAATATGAGCAATCCTTGGCTTCCCATTTCCCACAAATTATTTTGAGTACCTGTTGCTATTGGCACCTGAGCCACAAGCAACAGATCATATTCATGGAAACTGCCTTCTAATCTGATGCCAACTATAATCCCTCAGTCTCTGGCCTGGTTTACAGAGGGGAAGCTGTATAGCATTTTTGTAGGCTTGCCCATGCTGCTTGACTGGCAGCCCTTCAGTTCAGATGCTACATACAAACTCTCCTGCTGACTTCAGTCCAGTGCAGAGGGGGAAGTTTTGTTTGCTATTAGGATGCAAATGAAGATGTGAGAGAGAGCCACCCACAGGGATAAACAATTTAGTTCCGTTAGGAAATATTTGCACCCTGAAAGAGACATGGAAAAATCCCAGAGAAGGGAGCAGAGCTGTCCCAGTAGGCAATGAAGGGGCAAGGGACTTGGCGGAGAGTTGCTTTAAGGCGATATGAATAGATCACTCAGTGAATGAGACTGAACAGAGAGGCCGTTCAGCCTGGATGGATGAACTCCAAATACTCTGGGCCCTTCTGCCTGGATCCATACTCTGCATTTATATCATGCCTTTCACATGAGCCTCGAGGTGCTTTACAGAGGCTGGTACTGCCCAGATCTTACAAATAGGGAAACTGAGGCATAGAAGTTAAGCAGCTTGACCACGGATGAACAGCAGGTCAGTGGCAGAGTGGAGAATAGAAGCCGGTTCTCCCTCGCCCCCGCCATCGTTAGACCGCGTTGTTTCCCGTGGATTGGATCCCCATGGTCCCATGCAAGGAGTGCCGCTATCGTGGGAGAAGGGGGCGTAGCAACTCTTGCAACTTCCATCCAACTCGTGCAGAATTTGAACCGAGTTGGGCCCGGAGAATTCCCATGTGTGAAAACGCTTCCAACGCGGATGCCCTGGAAGAGTTCCCCCCTGCGGCGTGCCCTGACTTTTACCCGCCATTCCGTACCCCGGATCGGGGACGGGGGGCTGGGGCCGAACCTCGCTCGGGGGTCCTGGCACCGGCGGGGGGAGCCAAGCAGGATCTGCGCGCCCGGGCTCCGCTCCAGCCCCGCAGTGCAACGGCTCCAGCGAGCCAGGGGCCGGGTCTCCGCGGGGAGCCGAGCGGCCGGCGCAGGGCGGGGGGGCGGGACAGGCCCGTAGGGCGCCCGCGGCTGGACCGAGCGGCGCCTGCGCTGCGGCCCCCCGGCCGGACCCA